ACCCTGAAACACACCACCCATTTTTATCGCATCCGGCCTTAACCGAGGAACCAGTGGTATTATGTCTGAGGCCATAAAAAAGGAATTTCGAAAGCATAAATTGATAAATTGATAATATAAATTAACCAATTCGATATTAAACTTAAATGTGTTTTGTGTGTGTGTGTGTGTGTGTGTGTATGTGTGGGTGCGGTTAAGTGTAGCACAAAAGAAAAGCAAAAAGCAAAAAGGGAAAAGGGAAGCCGGCAAGAATGTTAAAGTCAAGTATCCTTCAAGATTTCTGGGACAAAGGAGTGGCAAGTGGTTTCAATAATATAAGAACCACAATATATAATATATACACACTTATTTGTTGCACACATTTTCGGTAATAAAAATATTACCTTTGAGTGAAGGGCAGAAAATACCTATATTTTATTACCTTTAATGTGAACTTAATGTAGGTTAAGGGAAATAGAACGAATATTTTCGGTTAGTCCGTGGTAGAGTTTGTACATTTTTTATTTCATTACATCTTATCCTTGGATTTGCTGACCGCATCAGCAATAATAATTTCAATAATTTGCAAAGCCGACAGAAGCTCGTTGTAAATGTGTACACAAAACAAAACCAAATATGTGCATAAAGTTCTGATACGCAAATATTTGCCAACATATGTGCATATATAAATTTCATATTAATCTGAGTGGCTTCCCAAAGCTAAAGGTTAAAATCATATGCATTAATTAGGTATTTGCGCTGCAGGTGTACCGCATTTCCTTGTTTACAATAAGTTTATTAAAAAATACCAACCAACCGAAACAAAAAGAACAGAAAGTGAGGTAAATTAAAATGTCAGTCATTTTATTTTTGGGCTTTCTAAGCAGAGTTTTCCGACTTGAAAGAAATGTGAGAATTTCTAGGTAATTTCGATTTATATTCAATGGCGATTTATGACTTTTTACAAGTGTAGGGACCACTACATTTCGAAGAGCTCCTCGGATGCCGCGTTTTGTATGCTGGGCGAGACGCTTTGATGTTACACGATGTTGTTATGCTCGTAAAAATACTTCTACGTAATCATTAGTATGTGCAGGAGATGGGATGCCGTCGCCCAAGGATGATGGGATATAGTTGGTGGCAGGGACAGGACAACACATGAACCCATGAACCAATGAACCCATGAACCCCTCTATACACCCACCCACACACACACATGATAATTGCAGACCACATTCCCATTACGACGTAATCCGGCGAACAGCGATGAAAACTATTTGCAACTCCGCTGATCCGTTGGCTGACTTTATATCTCAGTTCAAAATTTTATGACTTTATGTATATAAAACTTTAGCGCTGAGGAAGTACATTTTTAGAATAATTCAGATCGTTCGCTATGGGAGTACTTAAGTACTTATGCATTCTTGTGCATACAAAACAAACGCTTTTGAAGGAAATTTTCAGTTCCAGGAAAGAATTATAGTAAACTAATAATCGAATATTTATTGGATGGCTAGCCAATTTCCTGAGGCTTAAAGCATCGAGGAGAGTTTGAATTTCCGAGTAAAAGAATCGCCGTCTTAACAATTCTTTACTTTTGAGACCACATTAATTCCTGCACTTTTCACTGACCCGGAACCCATATCTCTTAAAGTTTATGTGGGTGAAGGAAAAAAGAAGCGTGGAGGAGACGTGGGATTTTGTTTGGTTGGCTAGATAAACAAGCCATCGGCTATGGTCTATTGGCTTTTGCCAACATTCTTTTTTCTCTCCAGCTAGTTCGTGTGTAGTTGTGAAGAAGGACGAAGAGGGGTGGCAGTAAGTAAGGGGGTCCCTTTATTTATATTTATAACCGAAATTAGCTGTCAATTATGAAGTAAGTCGCTGTGGCCAGCAGAGGAATCCCCGGGAAGGCAACGACTGGGGGTTTTTGGGGATACTAGGGGGATCCTGGGGGGTTTTGGGCACGCAATGAGTTAGGTGTCCATTACGTCTATTTTATTTGACCTATTGCGCCGTGCTGGTGGTTCTGCTTTTGGTTCTGCTGGTGGTTCTGCTGGTGGTTCTCGGTTGCCAACGCTTCTTAAGCCGGTAAATTGCTGTCAATTAGTGGGTGAAAGTAATAAATAAGCCAACCTCCAGTGGGCAAGTTGGCCAGTGGTGTTCCCCACATCCCCCCAAACCATGTTGTCACTCGAAGAGGCAATCAGGAAAAGGTGAACCTTCGGCTCTGCGAGTAGTAAACTTACTCGTAGAAGCTCCTTGTTTTTTTTTTTTTTTTTTTTTTGGGGGAAAGTTCCCCATTTGCCGCCAAAGTGCGTAACTTTTCTCACACCTTGTGCGATACAACACGCCTATACAACGCCTATACAACCTACATATTCTATCAGCTGCGGGCGACCTTCATTGACATTTTTACATGTCCTGAAGGACACAACAGGACGAGAAGGACGACCATCCCTCGAACCCACGAAGCAAGCCCTTTTGCGACCTGTGGCGGCTTCATTGTTATGGAGGGGCATGCTGTAATATGTTATTGTAGCCAGCATTTTTATTGGATTTTTACAGGTGAGCATTGCCATTAAGTCAGACCCCATCCACCCACCACCCAACCATCAACCTTGCGCTTAGACCACCACACGTATAGTATGTATATCGTATATAGTACCACCTGTATGTGGTCATACTCGTATATTATGTAGGTTGTTCCACACCCACTCCAAACCAAACCAAACCAAACCAAACCAAACAGAACCAAGAACTCAACTCGAATCAACTCAACAGAAGTGCGATCGAGTGGCCTCGTAAATTCCATCGATCTGTGTCGCATTCAAATCGAAATTTGTTTAGCTACCTCTCGTTTTTTTTCCCTTTTTTCCCTTTTTTTTTTTTTTTGGTTTTTATGTGTGTCCCTTAAATACTTTAAAACTGGTTATTAGGCGCTTCTTCTGTTAATCCAAGTGCTCCTTAATTTATTTGGATGTGCGCCGCGCGCATGTTTTCACGCATTAAAACCATATGAAATGTGTTAAATATGTTAATTTGCTTATTTTACGAGTGAGACGATACGAAGTTGACTAGACCGCAGGCACATTTCCTTGCGGTTGAGCCAAAGTGTAGCAAAAAGCGAGGATAAAAAATACAACGCAAATACCGGGATGCCCAGGAAAAGTGTTTGCAAGTCGGAAGATTTTTTTTGGGAAAGTTACCATGTTTTCCTCAAATTACCATAAACCGACGACTGCTTGAGGGGGAAAAAAACGAGGACTCCTTATAACAGGCGTAATTAGGGTTTCTGCTTCGCAGCGCATTCCATTTCAATTTTCAACATTCTATCTCACTGTCTCCTATTTTAATGGAATTGCCTTTCAAGCAATTAAGTCTGTCAAATTTGTACCTTTTACGATCAAAGTATCATTCGATTTGGCGACTATATATGCATAGTAGCCTGCTGCCTCACACCTCAAGTGAGATTTTCACACACACAATGTCGAGAGCGTTCTCAGTGATTCCCCAAACGAAGGAAAAAAAAAAAAGAAAAAAAAATACAAATAAAAAAGAAAAAAATACAAATAAATAAATAAATAAATAAAATAAAAAAAAGGAACCTGTGTTTGCTGGTTGGAATATTTTGTATGCATGCGTGTTTCACATTCCTGTTGTCTTCCTTTCTATTTTTATTCTACAGCCCCCAAGCCTTTTTATGTGGGTCCTATATATTCTCGATTTCTGCGCTTTCCCGGTTTGTCAGCAGAAAAACAAGACTCCACGGCGGGTGTTTGTGTGGATTTTGGGTGGAATAAACACACAGGAGCGCTGAGGCCCATATTGATTAATCTTGTCATTAACATTTTCGCAAATGTCATTTCAAGTTGATTCGTTCTTGTCTTCGCCTGGATATTGTATTCTTTGTGGCGCTCCACCTCCACTCTACTTGGTTTTCATGGCGAGTACGGAAATCAATTTCGGGATGGCGGAATGAGCGAAAGACAGCGGAATTGTGGGCCAAGTCGAAGTCAGCCAATGAGGACAGGGAATGAGGGATTCTTTGCGACTACGAAGACGACTCCGTCTGGCTCATCATCGTCGTCATTGGCAGCGGAGAGGAAAAGATTGGGATTCTCCGGCATGACGAAGCTCGGCGTCGCCATCAATAGGAGACATACACAAATGGCCCCTGGAATTTCTATAATTTATAGGCTTTCAAAGCCATTTACATTTGCCATTTCGCTGGCCATTTCGAAAACAGGAAGCCCTACTCTGCCACGCAACCGAAAAACCCAAAAGGCCCAAAACCCCAAAAAAGCAGCGAGTATATATATCGTGTTTGTGTGGCTGTAAATAAAGTCAAGTTGTCGCAGTTAGCATACCATAAAACCAGGCCAGAATACAATTTTCTGGCTGCCACCGATGCCGATGCTGATGCTGATGCTGATTTTGTTATTGCCACACTCTCCGTGCGTCGTCGTGTTGTGCCGCTGCCCCCCCGCAACTTTATTTTATTATTTGTCAACTTTTATTGCAACATAAGTAGGGAAGTTCTTCTTCCAACTCGCCAGCCCAGCCCTCCATTATTTGCCATTAACCAATTTCAAATGGTTAGGGGCAATTGTTTGTTCGGGAGCATTGTATAAGATTACCAATTAGCTGCTTGACGAAAATACCCAGTCTGCCGACAGAATGCCGGAGAATAAACAAGATAAAAATTCACATCGCGAATTATAGCAGTCGACGTCATTCAATGTATCAAATTTATTGGCCGTAAAATTGACACACAAAAAAGTTAGAAAAAAAATTATATGCAAAAATAAAACGTCGAAATAAATTTGTAATAATTTAGTCGCCCTTATGAAAAATGTCATAATCTTTTGTTTAAGCTTTTGCATAAATGGTACTTCGTTTTTCAAGAGAACAAACGGAATAATGTCCTTTAATTTTTATAAATACTATACTATTTATAATTGGTTATCAGGCTTCAAATAAATTCTTTTTTCTCTGAATTTCAATTTTCATAAACTGACCTTTCCGTAGTGATACTGTTTTTGTAGCAAATGTTTAACCATATAAATATCCTCTCCCAAAATCATGTGGATGAATTCAACTAACCTGCAAAGAAGAAATAATAAAAATCGGCATTAGTTAAGGCTTTTACGGCAAACGATAAGAAGCCAAATCAGTAAAGTCATCTATTATTTTCCAAAGTCACGAAAGCAATGCTCCAATGGCAAATATCAAATCGAACAACGATTTTTTGGTTATCCCCTTAAATCTTTTGATTTCAATTCGACTAAGCTTTGGCTTGTTTTTACCCTCCTTTCGTTCGTTCATCTGATTAGAGACTTAACCCCATGACTCTTTTTTTTTATTGCCCCCATTCAATTAGATTTATATACTAATACAGAGGGCAGGCGACTTTGTGTGTGTTTTATGCTTGTATGTACAACTTTTAAACATGCTTTTTATCACCTAAAGGACCACGCGTTCTTCATGGAGAAAATCTTAAAAATCAGCTAACCCTTTCCACTCTGCGGTCATTTGTCCAGAAAAGTAGGGGATTGGGGTGGGGGTTACAAACAAAAAAAAAAAAAAAAAAAAAGAAATAAATGATGAAGAGACCGGGGGCAAAACTCGGACAAAGCTTAGCAAAAGCTTAATAATGGAACTCTTTAGCCACAGAAAACATTGAGGGCGCACTCTTGAACTTAATATTTTCTTTTTTTATGCTGCTCTTATTTTTTTTTTTTTTTTTTTTTTTTTTGCTCTTGTATTTTTGTTCGCTTCTAATAACCCGTTGACAGCATTCTCCAACTAAATCGTCGTCGTCATCGTTTTCTGTGGATGATGATGACGCATGTTGGCCTGGCGAAGAACAAAAGTGGCCTAAATAAGGATGGAGAGATGAGAAGCTGGAGAGGATGAGATGTTGGAGAGGATGGGATGATGATGAATCGGAAGATGCCAAGAAAACACCAAAAACAGTTGAGGAGAATTTTGGGGTGGGGAATCGGAGGGGGGATTGTCAGTATATGAAAAATTCCAGCTTCTTCTACTCAATCTCTCTCTCTATTTCCCTCAGTTGGCTGTCCATTCATTTTGCTTCTAGCGACGAAAAAGTTACGACCCACCGTACGTCATTTTAATCTTAGTCACTGGTTGTCCAACGCCAACGGATTTACCTCATCCTTCTCAACCTCTACAATTTCCCCATTCCCCGTCCTCGCCACCGAAAACAATGAGAATTAATGCATTTCGAGCGGAGCACACAGGGAAATGAAATAATTTTGTATTAGTCGTCGTTCAACAGAGCACATAAAAATAAAAATAAAAAACACACAAGAACACAGAAAAAGAAAATCAACGAGGAAAGCCAAGAGACAGCAGATGAAAACGCAACAAGATAAGAAGAAAGAAGCACTAAAGTCGAGTGCCGGTACTCAAAGTCAAGAGCACCCGAAAAATATGGTCAAACCAATTGAAAGCTGTCCGCTCTCATCTGGGAAAACAAAGTGTTTTCTGTCGCCCCGATAGATAGATAGCATAACATATACTACGGATTTCCCTCCGACTTGTGGGATATTAATGATTTCTGGAGGGTCTAGCCAAATGAGTTATTAGGCCATACGTTAATCTCTCGTTCACTTCTGGACAACAACTAATTGTCACACGAAGTGGCTTTTCGACAGCCCACTTCTAATGCAAATACACAACGACACCGACAGTCGCTCCAAATTGGCAAATCAAATAAATTGGCCCGCAAATCGCAGACAAAATCAGAATCAGAAAATGGAGCAAACGAATTTGGCCAAATCCTTTGAAAATCACATTTTCAATGGCTCAGCAAAAATCCGAGATCTTCTTGAGTGGGGAAATTAAATTTTTGAAACCTTGGTGAAATCTTTTCCGAATCGAGAGTTTGTGCTTAGCATTTTAAATATTCATGAGGTCGGTTTGTGTTTATGCATAAACACTCACACTCACACACAAACACACACACACTAACATTTTGGAGCGCAGGATATCTCACAGATACGCACACCCAAACACGCGGGATGAAATTCTCCTCCTTCTTGGGAGGATGTCGGGTCTTCACGCTCGAATAAACAACAAGCAAGAACGCAATAGGTGAAATCCCCAACATTGAGATACTCAGTTTGATACCTCTCTTTATTGCTTGCTCAGCTGCATATCTCAATCAGCAAATACGAAAGAATTTATGTAGGTGAGTGTGGAAGGTGTTGCCAAAAGGTCACAAACTAAAGGATGGACAACATGAAAGCGAAGTCTGCATATTTGTTAAATCTCTTCACTTCATGCATGTTCTTTTACAGTTTGTGATGGCTTTAGAAAAGAGGGACATCTCTTTCTATTTAAAAATATGAAAAACGAACTAATGATGCAGCTTAATAGATATTTTAGAAACAAATTCGTAGAGGTATGTCACTTTTAAATCGGATATAAATTAAAAAAATTATGGAAATCCATTTTTTGCTAAATTTTGAAAGGATGTTTTCCTATTATTTCCCATTTGATATTTCTGAATATTTAATCTCCAAATCTTACAACTACTCTTTATGGATGCTCCGAATCTAATAACAAAATAACAAGCTTTTCAGCTTCTTCTTCTGTGAATAATAATAATAATTGAGATCTGAATTGAAGCCCGAAAGCAGGCCAACTTTTATGCAAAAGTGACTTAAGCTCGATCCGGAGTTATAACATTTGATTAGGCGACCCTCCGCCGACCGGCGATTTAATAACGAAAATCCAGACAAACATGAGCAGACCTGGGGAGAAGGCCAACAAGAAGATTGTTTCACCGGGGAGCAGCGGCCTATAGTTTTAATTCAATTGATTGAGCCACTGGCCGTAGGCCGCAGGCCAAGTTTTTGGCTCGAATGACACAAACCGGCGACACCTTAATTCGCTGGCCAATCTGAAGACCCGGCACGTACCAAAAAAAAAAAAAAAAAAAAAAAAAAAAAGGAGAAAAGAACATGCGTACAGAGTGGAGAACTCAGAACTCAGGACTCTGGACTCTGGAGTCCCAGAACTCGTTAACGAGATTCTTGTACATGTTCGTTGTCCCAGTGTCACATCTGTTTCATTGTCGCCCCAAAAAAACGGTCGATATGGATGTCGAGTGTTTAACCTTAACTAAGAGCTCCTGCCACATCCACTTACCATCTCAAATGCAGCTCAGCTCTGGAGTTTTTTTTTTGTTTTTGGGGTAAAAACCCCATTTTCGGCTTAAAAGTGGGCAGCTTCTGCTCTTTTTGTGTGTTTTAATTCAAATTCAAATCCCCCCACTGTGCACCGCAATGGTCTCATCACACCACAGGCAAATGGAATGAAAAATGTTCTAATATTTAGTTTGAAACATTAATTAAAACTGCCAACAGATTCAAAGTTTTAGTGGTATTTGATGGCCCCGGCATAAACCACTAAATTGACTTTGACCAAAATCTGTTGATTTTTGTACCCTGGCATAAGAATATAATAAGGTTTGTTTGATGATTTCTAGACAGCGTTGGCGACCATTCACCATTAATTAAGTCAGAAGAGCTTAAAGAGTGATGCTTTTAAGGGAAATATTTAATCTGTAACTAAACTTTAGTACCCATAAATTTATTTATTAATCATCACATTCCGTATGGAAATTAAAATTGACAGACCCAACAAAAAGCATCATCTAATTTGTCTAATTTGGGTTTCCTCACTCGCCTTGCCCCAATCAGTGTTTATCAAAAAACACTTTTCCGGTTATCTATTGCCACTTTGGAGTGGAAAAGCTTTTAATTCGACATCATTAGTTTGATGAAGGTGTGGATGGATGGATGGTTGGGTGGCAAGGAAATCTTTGTTTATAATTGCCATGTTAACGGTGCGGATGTGAAGTCGTGTGCATCGGCCATTCAGGTTTTCTTTCTTTTAAGTTGGCCAAGCTGCGCCGACAGCAGGCAAATAAACAAAGTCAGGCCAGCTTTGTACACTGTGCAAAATGAATAGTTATTGCGGCTTAAACTTCAACTTTATTACTGTATGCAGTGTATGCAGTTTATTTAGCTTTAGAGGAGCATATTTCTTTGGGTGTAGCTCCATGAACCGAACCCTTAATGGCCGAGTTCCGTTCTTTCAAAGGCGCCTCCTCTCGTCTTCTTCACAATTTCCTCCCAATTATCCTAGTTCTCTATTGCGGTTTATTGGTCATCCCAAATGCCTCTCCGTGTGTGTGTGTGTGTGTGTCAGTGTATGTGTGCATGTGTTGGCTTGTTGTATGCATGTGAGTCTGAAGTCAGAATTTAAACGGCTCAATGGTCATGGCTCATTGTATTCCGAACACACAATGCAGAAGTCGCACGGCAAAGGTCTCCGTTTCAGCCAACAAGCACTTAAGGCCTATCAGTTTGCCGAGCCTTGGACTTCAATTAAATTACCTAGAAATTAGTGGAGAGCATTGTACTGAAGGGCTTGGAATTTCACTAATAATATTCCCTCTTAATTAGTTTGGGAATTTGGCTAATTCCAATGCCTTAGCATTTAAGCTTCAGAATCAGAATTAATCATTTGGCTAGCTAAACTTTAATTAGTGAATATTTCCCACTCGCTTCTTAAGCTCTGCGTTGATGACTAATATGAATTTCGAATGGAGTAGGGAATATATACGAGTATGCTAAATAGAAAAGTCTCTGGGAGCGCCAATCAAAGTTTGCTTCGAAGCGAAGACGAATATTTTGCGGGGGTATTGAAATTTCTTTTCGGAGCAAGATGCATTCAATTATCAGGAGATTCGCCGCAAGAGGTTAAGACACAAGTTTAAGCCACCCCATTGAGATGGCTTTTTTGCTTTCATTTCTTTTCTTTTCTTTCCTTTTTTTTTTTTTTGGGAAGGGGAAGAGGGGTTTGAATGATCCCCCATTTTCTTTTGCAATGCTGCTGGCTGTGCGGATTTTCCTTTTTCTTGCGGTTCTTTCATTTCGCATTCTCGTGCCAGCATTTTGGCTTTAATAATTATTTATGCACATGTCTGCTGCAGGCTCCTCCTCACATTGCTCAGCTCGACTACCGAAACCACCTAGAAAAGAGGCGCCAGAGCACCAGAACAGCTG